TACTCCAGAAATCAGCTGCCTGTCCCCTGGGACTGTGTTTGTGACCACAGTAGATCCTTGTCAGGCTCGTGTTGACTTTCCTTCTGTGAAAATTCTCTCCACTTAAGTAGGATGCACCCAGAAAAAAAACCAGGCAAAGTGACACAGGTGCTGAGAGTCAGAAGTACTGAGAGTGACTATCTGTGACCACTGACACATAACTTTCTCAAGATGAGCCAACAATGAGTTCCTACAGCAGGCCTGGGCTCACCCTCAGGCAAGCCTGACTGACACCTTTATGGAATGACTTAGAGAAATTCTAGTAAGTTCCTTTAAAAATGTTCACGTGCATTTTATGACTATAATGATTATTATGATTGCTATTACTGTTATTATGACTTTGCTTACACGGGTTGGAGTTGGTTTCTGTTGTGATCACAGAACCTCTCTTAGTACAGTTAACTGAGTGGGTAATGGGTGAGGAACAGCGAGGCTCACGTAAAGAGGGTTCAAGTGAAATTTACTATATAGTATGTCCCCTAAGTGATACACAGTAGCTCCCCTTATCCGAGGGAGACATGGTCCAAGTTCCTTGCTGGATACTAAAACTTCAGATAGTACTGAATCCTATGTACACTGTACTTTTCCTATGTCTCTAGACCTATGACAGTGTTTAATTTATGAATTAGCCATAGTAAGGGGTTAACAATAAAAACTAATAATAAAATAGGACAATTATAATGATATATCATCATACGTTATGTGAGTGTTCTCTCTCTCTCCTCTCCATATTGCCTTATGGTGAGTAGTGCATACAGCACAGATATGTAGGACAAAGGGATGACTCATATCCTGGACAGAAGTGGGGCAAGACACTACGCAGAATCACAATTTTTTTGTCTTTTCTTTTTTGGTTCTGGGATCGAACCCAGGGCCTCACGCATGCTAGGCAAGCGCTGTACCACCGAGCTACATCCCAGCGAATCACAATTTAAAGTTTATGAGTTGTTTAGTTTTGAAAATTTTCAGGACTAATTTTGGACTGTGGTTGACCACAGGTAAGTGAAATCTCGGAAGGCAAAGCCGTAGGCACAGGGGTTTTTTGCACGCTAACCACGCTAATGATGGAGTACTTTCCATGCAAGCACCTTTCTCCGCTTAGACCTATTGGGGGACAAGCTCATTCATGTCTCCTCATCTCAGCTATGAGAAGTGAAAACAGAACAGAACTCACCTATGAAGACATTCAAACTAAAAGGCAAATGACAAACTGGAAAAATACACTTGCCATATATTTGATGGTCAAAGATATCCTTACTCTATAAAAATAAGCAAAGATAAAAATCCCAAAGGAAAAAGATATATACACAACCAATTAACATGTGAAAAATATGTTGACAAAGAAAGGAATATTAAAATCACAGATTTCTCCCCAACTATCAACTGGAAAGCATTTATTAGACTGATAAAGCCCATTGTTGGTACAAATTTTGAAGATGTCTTCTCCTGCCCCCTGCTGGTGGGACTGTGAACTAATGCCTTTCTGGAGCTTGTAAAAATACTGATAAATTGCAATATTCACATATTTGACCTTGCAATATCAATGCTGTAGCTTTTATCAGGGGAATAATCAGAGTTATGCAAAAAAGAGAGGTGCATATTTCACTGTATTTTTACATGCGTAACATAATTTTTTAAACTAGCTTTCTTCTCAGAATGAAGGGCTGTTTCCCAAATGAAATATATTAACATTCATGGAGCACTTTTCATTTCTCTTTCTTTTCGGCAGTAGCGGGGTTTTAAACTCAAGGCTTCATGCTTGCTAGGCAGGTGCTGTACTGCTTGAGCTATGACTCCAGTCCATTTTTCTCTGGTCATTTTGGAGATGTGGTCTTGGGAACTATTTGCCTGGGCTGGTGTGAAACTGTGATCTTCCCGATCTCAACCTCCCAAGTAGCTAGGATTACAGGTGTGAGCCACCAGCACCCGGAAAGAGCTACGTTCTCAACTGAGTTAACTAGGGCTTGTCAACAGCCAGGAGTTGAAACGACACTACCAAGACCTCTTAGTTGACCTCACAGAGATCCCTTCCTAGGTGGGCTCCCATGTTTCCAGCATGTAGTCCTAAACCCAATGGGGACCTTGTAGCCTACCCTAGCAAAGTAGGTTCCAGGGACTGACAGGTTTGTTCTGTGTCATGTGCCTTCTCCTAGGACAGGGCTAGCCTCCTAAGAATTGATCAATAAAGAGGAATATCTTCTCAGAGGAAGGGATACTGGATACATGGCTATCCCTAACAAAGACCAGCTGGCTGTGATCAGGGGCCAAAGTAAACGCAGGTAATGGAGTTTCTGCTATGTGCCTGGTATTTGCAATGAGGAGCTGGAGCCCAAAGGACAAGGAAAACTGATTAAGAAGTGATCAGGTGCCAGAGCTTGCGGGCCTGGCAAGCCAAACTAAGGAGTAGTGACTGGCAACTACCTCTACCTGAATGCAAACTCCGTGCCAGGCACTAAGCTATCTGTCTGTGAACATCCACCTCCACTCTGGTACCTGCTGTTTCATAGACGAGGAAACTGATACTTACCCAAGAACCCATAGGGATGGAGACAGGATTCAAGAGGCTGTAACACCTTGGGCTTAACCATGTTGCCAGGATGAGGCCAGCAAAGGCCACGGTCCAATTCATCCTTTTCCCACAAGTAATTCACATTGAAAATGAAATTTCTTTGTTGGTAGCAACCTGATATCATGTATCTACAATTAAGGTACCACAGTATACACTGAAGAACTTATTCGATGGGCCCAAGGAAAAAAGATGTGGTCATTAAGTATTGGATTTTTTCCAAATAGCTCTTAAGTATCATCACATGGTGTGCAAGTAGTGCTATTTAAAACATGAGGGGAAAATAGCTGGGAAGATTTCAGATCCAAATACAAAGGCCCTGAAACCACCAAAGGGGACACCTGATCCATCCTGAGTATGCACGTGTGGAGACCCTGGAATTGCTGTTATTCTTGGGACTATTCAGTTACAAGGGAGACCCAGCGCTGACCCTTCTTCAAGCAGACAATCAACAGAAGGCTGCATTTGATGGGATGAATTTACTTTCTATTAACAAGACTTCTAACCTTATACAAGACAAAGGAGGGAGGGGAAAGAAGAGATGAATCTAGTTCTTTAGGAGTCTGGAAAGAAAAGAATAACAGGAAAAAGGAAGTATTGTTTAGAAAGGCAATACGACCCACATAACTCTTAGATCCTTTGCTCCAAAGCATGAAGAAAGGCTAAAGAAATAACAGAAAAACGTTTGTAGAAACTTTCTTCTCTTTAATATTTTAATGTTCCTTTTATAAATACCTGTGACATAGAAAATATTAGAGAATGCCTACTAATTTTCTACTTCTTGTGCAAAAAACTTGTGTTCGACCCACACCAACCCACTCCCCTGCTCCCTCACATTCCCTAGCAGAATAAACTCTTCTTTATTTGGCATTTCCATGACCTATGTACAGTATTTCTGTTATGACACTGTACTGAAGTTGTCCCCACCACAATAGTCTTACCTTGTCCTATTTTACTAGAGCAGGTAGCTGCTTAGAAAATGTTGAATTAATAAAACAGTTCTGTTCATTTATAAATACTGACTGTAGTGCACCATCTTGTACTATGTCTCTGTGGTTATCTTCGGACTAGGAGCTCAAGTGCAAGGCCAATGTATTACTCACCACGGTCTCTACTGACTACTATGGGGCCTAACAGTTCCTGGCAAATGGCTGGTGCTCAGTAAATATTTGAAAAGTTAAGCACAAAATTTCTCAGTACATGACTCAGTAGGAAAAGGGCGGGACAACAATAAACGGGATGATTGTGGAGAAAAGGTTGTAATCTAGTGAAACACGTTTATATTGGTGGGAAGGGTAGTTTACGGAGAAAGCAATTTTGTCTCCACAGTACAGATGGGACGATTTTTTTCACAAGCAAGAAGGGGGCTCACAGGGACCACATATAGGTGCTCTTCATTTAAACCCCACAACAAATCTACCAATCTTCTGCTCAATCAAGGTCACCCAACAGCTCAGGGTTTGACCACAGTCAGTGGGTCCACTTCTTGGAAGGAACCAAATGGAACACCGAGAATAGCTGTCACACAGAGCAAAATTTATTTGCTGCACGTAAGTAGGCCAGGAGGGAATCACTTCCAAAACGGTGACTCCCAGAAGCCAGAGCAGGTTGCACTTGATCACGCAGGGAATGCACATGGCGGGTGGGGGGAGGTTGAAAGGTAGGGGCAAGAAAACAGCATGCTCCTTCAAAGTCCTCGTGTTACGGAAACGAGGCTTTACTTCTTCCCTGGGTGCAGATGGAACGTAACGAAGTAAAATTGGCCTCTCAGTCACTGGTGCATGCTCAGTGTAGCTTGTGGACCATTACTTCTGGAAATAAGGACATCCGTTAGAAACACAACTTTGTCCTGGGGCTCAGGGTGCGCAGTGGGAGACAGTCCCCCTCTGGGACCTACCGCTGCGTCCTGCTGGGAGCCGGTGCACCCTAACTTCAGTCGCCCCTCTGCTACCAAGAGCAGGTGCCCAGCCTGGGTCCGTTCCTCCTCCTGAGGCTGCCTTCAACCATTTCAAGACTAGCAGGACGACTCCTAAAAAAGCAGGAGTAGGAAGGAGGCTGGGGGCTGAGAGTCTGGGACCGACGGGAGGCCATCGTCCCCGTTTCCGCCCTGGCGGGCCAGGCGAGACCGGAAGCGCGGCTTTCCCGGGACCGCGCACGACCGTTCTGCGCGCATCCCGGGGCGCCAGTAACTTTGGTCCTTCAGGGCTTCCGTAGAGAGGAACAAAGTCGGGAAGCTCAGTATTTTACAGAGCGAGCAAAGCCAGTATTTAACAATTAAAATCCCATCTGTGGATTTGAGCGCAGACTGCCACTCTAGCTTCTCACGAAATAAAGCTGTGAGGATGACAGAGCCGTAGGGAGACTCCGCCAACGGTGCGTGCGCAGGAAGTGACGTCACTTCCGCCGCGTTTGGGGCGGTGCCAAGATGGACGCTCCGTGGGCTCGGGAGCAGCTCCGGCGGCGTTACCTGTTGTCGCCCGAGGCGGAGGTCCGGCTGGACACGGAGGGCGACGTCGGGCCTGGTGAGACGCTGTCCCGGCCGCGCTCCGAGCTGCCCCGGGCTTCTCGTAGCCCCGGCCCTGTCGGGGGCACCGGGCTCCATCTTTCGAGGGACACACCCAGCCGTTTTTCAAGTCGCGTATTTAACGCCATCAGAGATCCTTGCAGATCATATAGTCTTGCGCATCCTCATCTCAGGAGGCCTTGGGAAGCAGGTTTAACACCTGCTCGGTAATGTCTGTCAAAATTAAAGCCACCACCGATTCTAAGTCCTAAGAATTTGCCTAGGGAACATACCTGAGCCAGGCCCACGTACACCGGGTCTCACGTCGGCATGACACGTCCTAGGAAGCCAGTGGACATAGCTGATTGCCTGTCCGGAAGAGAGCTGGTTAGATAGGTTCGGGGGTAGCTACATGGTACGGCAGACAGACTTTTAGTATGCCGACGTGGGTGATCCTCAGAGCGAAGGGCAAAGTGTGAGACATGCCACCATTTGGGTGCAGAACACAACCTGTGCTGGGTGTTTAGCTGTACAGGCGTAGAGTATGGAAGAATTCAGCAGCAGTCGATGGTTGCTTCTGGGCAGCAAAACGGGGTAAGGACTGGGAGAGTTCAGTTTAGACACTTTTTATCATGCGTGTTCTAACACCACGTCCATTTATTAGCATCTCCAAAATAAATGAGCATGATCCCTCTACCTACATTTCCTGCATAGCTCGGACCACAGGTGTGCACCAGGGGCCTGGCTTATTCACTGAGATAGGTCTCACCAACTTTTTGCCTGGGCTGGCCTCAAACTGCAGTCTTCCCAGTCTCCACCTCCCAAGCAGCTGGGATTACCCGTGTGAGCCACCGTGCCTGGCTTCCCGTCCCCCACCCCAGGGCTTCTGATGGTTTTCTAAAGGCCCATAATCTCACATCTAGACCAGCAATTCTGACATGAACTTAGAGGACACGTCAGAATCACCTTTCAGTTCTGGTCACAGGTGGAAGAAATAACTTGTGTATTGTACTATGCTGGGACAGGAGCCCTGGTGTGCCATTTCCACGTTTGAGCTGCCTCAAAAGATGGTGTTTTGTTTAAAATATTTCATTGTAAACAGTGTTCTTGGAAGATCATAAGTTCATTTTGTGCTCTAACACTTGCATTTGGCATTTTTTCTTGATTAACAGGACTAATTACTTTCCTACAGGAAAGGTGAAATGTTAAAATCCCTATGCATCATATCCAGAAGATTATGGAAGATCATGAAAGTGTAAATTTGATTTCAAAATTCATTTAGAGGAAATAAGCTGACTATATTGAGCATATTTCATAGTGGTTTCCTACTAATTATTTCTACAAGTAAAAAATCCTGTCTTGATGGCTTTATAGAAGGGGTTAGTGCTATAGTGGGAGAGATTGTGCTTATTAGAAATCCCTGGGAAACAGTCTTATTTTTCCTCATAAAACTATGGCAATTAATAAGTTGACGTAAATTCTCTTATTTGCAGAAACCTCTACAGATGTTGAGAAAAAGGAGAAACCTCTTCCAAGACTTAATATCCATTCTGGATTCTGGATTTTGGCTTCCATTGTTGTGACTTATTATGTTGATTTCTTTAAAACTCTTAAAGAAAATTTTCACACTAGTAGGTAAGAAAATTTTCATAAGTTAACCATCCTTATCTTAATTTCTTGTGGGTTTTTTTTTTTTGCAGTACTAGGGTTTGAACTTAGGGTCTACACTTTGAGCCACTCCACCAGCCCATTTTTGTGGTGAATCTTTTAGACAGAGTGTCTCGAACTGTTTTCTTTCCAGCTGGCTTTCAAGCGCAATCCTCCTGTTCTCTGCCTGCTGAGTAGTTAGGATTACAGATGTGAGCCACCGGAGTCCAGCTTCATGTTGTGTTTTTGTCATTTGAATTCTCCCAGCACTTAGTTAAGTCCTAGGTTCTTCCAGACACTGAGTTGGAGGAGTTTGTAATACAAGGAAGAATAAGACAGCAGCACAAATTTTCAGTTATGTAGTGACTCAGTTCTGAGGATTTGATGTACCATAGTTAATAATACTATGTTTTAGACTCGCAATTTGCCAGGGAATTGATCTTAAGTGTCTCCACCTTGTGTGCTCACATGCACGTTAAGTGTGAGGTGATGGATTCAGTACTTAATGTAATTGTAGTAATCATTTCACAATGGCTTCAACAGATACAATTTAAACTTGTCCCTTATGCCTCAAGAAGGCTGGCGAAATCAAGATGAGTAAGGTGTGTGCTCTGGGCATGTGCAGCAGAGTGGCTGAGAACTGGAAATTGTTTCAGAGTGCCTTTTCAGCACAAATGTGTCATAGCATGAGGAAGATAGTGAATTTAGGAAGATCTTAGTCCATTTGTAGACCATTGGAAGTAGAAAGAGGACTGTCTTTGTGAGAACTAAGTGTGGGAGAACTGGGAGGAGGGAGTGAGCACTGTGACCAGTGAGAATGGTCTCAGGGTGTGTTTCAGAGTAGTTACAGCTGACAGGGTAACTAGAGGGTGTGACTGAGTTAGAGTTACAGTGAAGGTCACCAGTGGGAGGAGTTGGGGCTTGTGGCCAGGTCGGATGTCAAATAGTCCCTAATTCACCAGGATTAACATCCCTTCAGTCTAATCTCAGGAGCTGACATGGAGCAGAAGGTTGTGAGTCACATTCTGGGGTTCTTCTGAACATTGGAGAATGATGTGGAGGCCTCCAGGTATAGAAAAGGGACCAATGTTGGTGAGTCAGAACTGGGATTTAAGGGCTGCTTGCTTTGGGTCAAGAGCAGTAATTGGAAGTACCAGTGAGACCAGAAAGATGCAGACAGGAGTGTGTCCTGTGGGATCATGAGAGGACACAGTCTCCTCAAGAGGCCTTCAGCAGGAGCTGTGGCTGCTAGAGGGAGCAGGTGGTCAGGGAGTGAGCACAGGGAAATTCACTCAAACTACAGGAAGAAGAGCGCTTGCTTCTGTTTTCTTATTTACACGAGGAGGGACTTTCCCTGAATGATCCCACCTTCCTGCTCTCCTGCCCACTCACCCCTTCCCTGGGAGGAGGTGTGACTTGCCTGATTGAGTTGAAAAACTGGACAGATGTAGCCCAGCACCTTCTTCCTTTTGGGAATCAGCCGTTTGTAGGAAACACAGATTCGGGTCGGCTTTTCCAGGCTCTCATTTTATGGAAACAGCCCAGACAAGGAGGAGGGCCTTAGGATTTCATTGTCATCTGGACTCCAGTGGGTAAATCCATCTGCTCCCCAAAGCTGTGTTTGGACTTTCTTTAGTCTGAGTCATTCATATCTCCCAGATGGTTTAGAATTCGGGCTGGGAAAAGAGCAATGTACTTGAAGTGTTTCCTACAGCAGCCACTGTCATGCACTTTGTCCTTCAAAGGGGACTCGGGGTTGGCTGTGTGCCAGTGATGAGTAAGGTGTCTCTCCCCCTCTAGCAGCTCATTCTAGGCTGCAGCAGACACATCACCAGCATGGGGCGTGCTGTGTAAATGCACGCACAGATGTCTGGGAGTGCCTGGGAGGGGCCTCGTCTGGCCCAGCCTCAGGAGGTAGGCCTTTTCAAGGTTTTAGGAGACCAGGGAGAATTTCTCTATTTGAGTCCTTTACTAGGCATTCTTATCACTTGAACTTGAAAGAAGTGGCAGGGTAAGAAATGCTCACACATGTAAGACATTTGAGCACAGTACCCAGAACCCAAGTTCTTGGTGGCAGAGCCTGGACACAGGCGTGAGGACCAGGGCAGTCATAGGCCCATCCTCAACAAAAAGTCCTCTTAGAGGAAAAGAGCTGTGAATGCATACCCAAGACTGAGGGGTGAGTTGCAGTGCACCCTGGTGCAGAGCTCAGCAGTGAGGATTTTGAGCAGCCACAGAACATGAGGTGAGTAAAGGCAAGGCGGCTGAGTGCTTTTTTTTTTTTTTGAGACAGAGTCTCACAACAGAGCTTAGGCTGACCGCAAACTCTCTGTGTAGACCAAGCTAGCCTTGAGGAATTCTGCTTTTTGAAAGTGATTTGTTCTGATATCTGAGATAATTTCATTTTTTTCCTGGTCTTGCCCAAGTTCAGAGAATCAAGGTATTAGGGTTGTTTAAGTCTTTGCAGGGTTAGATTGTATGTTCAATGATAGGAGAGACAGGTCAGTATTAAAACAAATTATTGTGATACTTAGGAAATCACTGTTTTCATAAAACCTCTGGTTGTGTGTGTCACAATCATCTATGAAGCTAGGCACCAGTGGCTCATGCCTGTAATCCTAGCTACTTGGCAGGCTAGATCTGGAGGATCATGGTTCAAGCCAGCCCGGGGGGAAAATTGTTCATGTTCACGAGACCCTATCTCTAAAATAACCAGAGAAAAATGGAGTGGAGGTATGGTTCAAGTGGTAGAGTTCCTGTTTTGCAAGCTCAAAGCCCTGAGTTCAAGCCCCAGTCTCACAAAAAGAAAAAAAAAATCATCTGTGGAGTTAAAGAGAAAACTGACTAAAACAATCCTAGTCCCCCAGACTCTAGATTTTGCTCAGACCCAGAATTTTATTTTATTTTATTTTATTTTATTTTTTTCATTTTTCTTTTATTATTCATATGTGCATACAAGGCTTGGTTTATTTCTCCCCCCTGCCCCCACCCCCTCCCTTACCACCCACTCCACCCCCTCCCGCTCCCCCCCTCAATACCCAGCAGAAGCTATTTTGCCCTTATCTCTAATTTTGTTGTAGAGAGAGTATAAGCAATAATAGGAAGGAACAAGGGGTTTTGCTGGTTGAGATAAGGATAGCTATACAGGGCATTCACTCACATTGATTTCCTGTGCGTGGGTGTTACCTTCTAGGTTAATTCTTTTTGATCTAACCTTTTCTCTACTACCTGTTCCCCTTTTCCTATTGGCCTCAGTTGCTTTAAGGTATCTGCTTTAGTTTCTCTGCATTAAGGGCAACAAATGCTAGCTAGTTTTTTAGGTGTCTTACCTATCCTCACCCCTCCCTTGTGTGCTCTCGCTTTTATCATGTGCTCATAGTCCAATCCCCTTGTTGTGTTTGCCCTTGATCTAATGTCCACATATGAGGGAGAACATACGATTTTTGGTCTTTTGAGCCAGGCTAACCTCACTCAGAATGATGTTCTCCAATTCCATCCATTTACCAGCGAATGATAACATTTCATTCTTCTTCATGGCTGCATAAAATTCCATTGTGTATAGATACCACATTTTCTTAATCCATTCGTCAGTGCTGGGGCATCTTGGCTGTTTCCATAACTTGGCTATTGTGAATAGTGCCGCAATAAACATGGATGTGCAGGTGCCTCTGGAGTAACAGTCTTTTGGGTATATCCCCAAGAGTGGTATTGCTGGATCAAATGGTAGATCGATGTCCAGCTTTTTAAGTAGCCTCCAAATTTTTTTCCAGAGTGGTTGTACTAGTCTACATTCCCACCAACAGTGTAAGAGGGTTCCTTTTTCCCCGCATCCTCGCCAACACCTGTTGTTGGTGGTGTTGCTGATGATGGCTATTCTAACAGGGGTGAGGTGAAATCTTAGTGTGGTTTTAATTTGCATTTCCTTTATTGCTAGAGATAGTGAGCATTTTTTCATGTGTTTTCTGGCCATTTGAATTTCTTCTTTTGAGAAAGTTCTGTTTAGTTCACGTGCCCATTTCTTTATTGGTTCATTAGTTTTGGGAGAATTTAGTTTTTTAAGTTCCCTGTATATTCTGGTTATCAGTCCTTTGTCTGATGTATAATTGGCAAATATTTTCTCCCACTCTGTGGGTGTTCTCTTCAGTTTAGAGACCATTTCTTTTGATGAACAGAAGCTTTTTAGTTTTGTGAGGTCCCATTTATCTATGCTATCTCTTAGTTGCTGTGCTGCTGGGGTTTCATTGAGAAAGTTCTTACCTATACCTATTAACTCCAGAGTAGTTCCTATTCTTTCTTGTATCAACTTAAGAGTTTGGGGTCTGATATTAAGATCCTTGATCCATTTTGAGTTAATCTTGGTATAGGGTGATATACATGGATCTAGTTTCAGTTTTTTGCAGACTGCTAACCAGTTTTCCCAGCAGTTTTTGTTGAAGAGGCTGCTATTTCTCCATCGTATATTTTTAGCTCCTTTGTCAAAGATAAGTTGCTTATAGTTGTGTGGCTTCATATCTGGATCCTCTATTCTGTTCCACTGGTCTTCATGTCAGACCCAGAATTTTAGAAACTAGGACAAGATAGCTTCTTTCAGAAAGGCACAAAGTGACTCTGATGTACAGTGTGGGTTGAGGACCACTGACTTGCAGTATGTTCAGAAACTTTTAAAATTTTGTTTTATCTCTTTTATCATGTCTGTAGACAGCAGCCATAGAAGGAAGGATTTAGGTGAGGCCAGATGCTCACCATCTCTGAGCACAGCGCTCTTTAGCCATTCTTATGTCTCTGCCCTCTAAGGAGGCTTTTGTAGGCATTTGTTTCTTAATTGCCCTCCTGCCTGTGGGACTTCAATACCACAGGTACCCTGGGTTTGCTTATGTACTTCCGTGTGCCTGCACTTTATGGATACATACAAGTCAGATTTCTTCTTCACGTTGGTGGTCTTGCCCATGGTGAGAGGCCGCGCTCTAGAGAAGAGAGGTCTTTGAAGATCCTGAGAGGAATGGAGTTCTTTCTTATAGATAACATAGTGGATGATAGATCTCTCTGGGAGTTTAGCTGGGTGTTGTTTCATTCTCCATCTTTTCTGTTGAGTTAAACATGGTCAGTGCTTCCAATGCGTGCCAAGTTCAAATAGTTTGCCTAGAGTCACAGAGGTAGTCATGTTGGAGTGGAGACTGAAACGCAGACAGACAGATTTCAAAGGCTGTTTGTCACCACTGCATGAAACTGCCCCAGCAATTCTGAATTCCAGAATTGTGTCATCCCAAAAGACCTCAGTGGAATGTTGGGAGCCACCCAGGGCCCTTGTCACTTAACTGCTCACCCTCTCTTCATCATGGATGGCCAGTCTTCCCCAAGGAGGAGTAAAAAATAATGGTGGTGTTGGGGCAAATTGGCAGGATGGCAAAGGGATTCATTCCCCAAATCTGGCCTCCTCTCAGGAGCCAGCAAGAGCGCCTCACACATGCTTAGGTGGAATCAGTTAGGGCTTAGGTGGAATCAGTAGGTAGCAAAATAGGACTGTCCTTTGGGGACAATAGAAGACATTCTGAAAGTGGGAGGGGCCTTAGTCTGTTTCTTGTGGCTGTTACAAAATACCTGAGGTTGGGTAACTTACAAAGAAAAGTGTACTTGGCTCACAATTCTGGTTGCTAAAGGGCCAAGTAGCATGGCACCTCCTGGCTGTGTAGTGGAGAAGCAGAAGGGAAAGAGGTGTTTGTTTGTGTGTGTGTGTGTGTGTGTGTGTGTGTGTGTGTGTGTGTGTGAGAGAGAGAGAGAGAGAGAGAGAGAGAGAGACACCAAGGAGAAGTGCCAGGTTTGATGTCAACCTGCTCTGGAGGTAACCAGTCCCATCCTTCTAGAGCAAAAAATTGCCTGTGCAAGAAAAGCATTCATCCCTTCATGAGGGCAGTCATGACCCAGCCACCTCCCAATAGGCCTCTCCTCTGAGAGGTCCCACCATCTTTCACAGCCCATTTTGGAGACCAAGCTTGTAGCAAATGAGCCTTTGGGGGACACTCAAACCATCACAGAGATGGTGTTCATGTGTTTGCTTAGAAATCTTTTATGAGAGAGAATTTGAATTGACAGTCTTCCTGGCTGCTTTTCAGTGTTCTGAGAACGTAAGTTGGAGGAATTAATGGTTTCTGATGGGGTCCTCTTTATTCCTCTCACACAGGACTTCAGGAACAAGCAGAAAGCCCCTGTCTTTCCTTTGTTTTTTTTTCTGTTCTTTTTTGGTGCTGGGATGGAACCCAGGGCCTCGCGCATGCCAGGCAAGTGCTGTACCACCAAGCTACATCCCAGCCCTCCTTTGTTTTTAAAGAAAATTCATCGCTGTAATTGGGGTTCTTGGTTGGTTGATTGGTTCATGAAAGCATGTATGTGTGATATAAGTGAAGTCCCACTTTTTCATCCTTTCCCGAGTTACATGGCTCATCTTTTCTCACCCTCATCTCCCACTAGACTGAGATTCCGAAAGCTGAGGTCGTGGAATTGTGGGTCCCTTTGACCCCCACTCCCTTTCTAGTTGAGGCTCTTCCTAGAAATACGTTTTTACGTTGTTGACAAAAACGGAAGGCATCTCTGATTTGCGTACCTGACTTGTCTCCACAGTTGGTTTCTCTTTGGTGGTGCCTTTTTGCTCGTCAGTCTATCTGTTGCATTTTACTGCATAGTCTACCTGGAGTGGTACCGCGGGATTGAAGAATATGATGTCAAGTACCCAGTGTTGGTGCCCATTACAACTGCGACCTTTATCGCAGCAGGAATTTGGTAAGTTTGCTTGGAAATAATGAATGTGGATGGAAGCATTTCTTTTGTGATCAAGTGATATATGTGACCCAAATTCAAAAGGAGATACAAGGAGTCATAGAAAATGTGTCTCTCAGTGCTTCCTATTCTTTGAACTCCATTTTTGTTAGTATCTCTTTCTCTTTATGTGCCTACTTATTTAAAACACAAATGGTCACGTGCTGTACAGATCCTGTACCTTGCTTTTTAAATAGTTTTCATTGCAATGTACAATACATATTAAAAAGTAGAAAAAACCAAATGCCCAGCTTGACTGAGCTGATCATGAAGTGAGCATCAGCGTAGGTCTCACTCAGATCAAGAAAGAGAACCAACCAGCCTCCTGGTAACCCTTCCCACCCATATATATGTCTGCATACACACGGAGAGGTGAAGGTGTCTGGTCATCGGGTGTACACACCTCCAACTTCAGGAGACAGTGCCAAACTACATTCCAGGGGGATTCTATAGGTGGCTTTCTGCGTCCATGGGTTTTATATCCATGAGTTAAACCAATCACCAAAAAGAATGTCATCTATACTGAACATGTACAGACATTTTTCCTTGTCATTATTCCCTAAACAATACAGTGTAGCACCTATTTACACAGCATCTACATAGTAGAAAAATGTCTTACATAATGCTGTGTTTTATATGGAATCCTAGCGATAAGATTTAAAGTAACGAGAGGATGTGCTGAGATTGTATACACATGTCACAACATTTCATGCAGGAACTTGAGCATTCAGAGAGTTCGGTGTCTGGAGAGTCTTGGAACAGATCCCTGCCTTCCAACTTACAGAGGGACTGCTATCCCCCCGCCCGCCCCACCAGGGACTCCGTGTAGCTTGCAGTTCCTCCATAATGGCACCAATGACACAAAGCCATGTCATTTGCAGTTAATAGCATCTTACAAATGATTACCTCTTCCATTAGTTTAAAGAGAAAATACTTTTATCTTTTTACCCTGATACTGTGATAGTGTGCAATCATAAAAGCAGCCTCAGCTGTTTTAATTCATGGTCCCTTGCACACACTGACTTTGAAACTTAACATTTCTTTTGGGATTTCAGCTCTGGGCCTTGGACCTGCTAGGCCAGCTCTCTGCCACTTGAGCCATGCCTCCTGCCCTTTTTGTTTTAGATTATTTTTTACATAGGGTCTCACTCTTTGCTGCGGCTGGACTAGGACTGCAATCCTCCTGCTTATGCCTCCTATGTAGCAAGGGCTACACAGGAGCCACACCTGGCTTATTCGATGAGATGGGGGTCTCCTTAACTTTTTGTCCAGTCTGGCCTTGAACTTCGAACCTCCTTCTCATCTCCACCTCTCAAGTAGCTGGAATTAGAGGCTCTGTGCCCGATGGGGACGTGACATTTCTGTGAAGCATGCCAGCTCCCGTTAGAGGCCCTTAGTGAAAAGAAAAACTTTTTGAAGAAATTGTGTGAGTTCTGTCAGCATACAAAGAGCTTTCCTTCCTGACACTGGCCAGGTCGCACAGTCTGAGCAACTTAACTGTTTTGTGTACAGAAAGTTGCCATCCAGACTAGTGTTCTCTGAGTCTGAGTTCTGTCAGCATACAAAGAGCTTTCCTTCCTGACACTGGCCAGGTCGCACAATCTGAGCAACTAACTGTTTTGTGTACAGAAAGTTGCCATCCAGACTAGTGTTCTCTGAGTCTGGGGGGTGGGGGTAGCAGCTGCACACACCGCAGGCACTGTGGCCAACCAGTATTCATCTTGCCCCTCTCAGCTTCAACGTTGCGCTTTGGAACGTGTGGTCGTTTTTCACTCCCTTATTGCTGTTCACGCAGTTTATGGGAGTCGTAATGTTCATCTCACTCCTTGGATGATTTCTGAAGGTAAGATCTCTGGGGTGCTCGTTCTAGTAGTGCACTCATTTGAAAAATGTCTTTTGAGATGGTTTGGACACAGCTGTGACAGGCTGCTTGTGAAGGGCCTTGTCACATTTGCGCCCAGTACACCTGAGGTGAGAGGGACCTTTGTAATGTTGGTCCTAAACAGCTCCTTTTCGGAGAAGGCACCAAACAGATTGTAGGTGCACCTTCCAACGCAGGTAAGCTTACCCATAAGCACACCCTGTTGAAGTCGGCTCTGTCATGTCTGCATAGGGACTGTGGCTTCATTGTTCCTGAGGAATGGGACAGAGGAGTAATGACAGCTTCTCCCATTGGGGAAAATTCTGCCACGTTCCTTAAAAACAGACCTCACACAGTAGGGTCTGTTTCCTGAGCATCAGGTAAGCCATTCACTAAGGAAGTGTGTGCAGTCTGAGAATGCCCACCCCATTCTTAGAGACAAGGTGGGAAGACAAAGATGGCCCCCTTCCTTCTTGTCACTCATACATGAACCTAGAGGAAACCAACTCCCACAGCATCTGCAGTAAGGAAAGGGGAGGCTCAGAGAACTGGAAGTCAGTGCTGAAGGAGACTGACTGAGTTTTCAGGGAAGTCACTGTGGCCAGGTGTAGAAGAAATAGGCAGTTATGCTGTTGCCAGGCTGACTAGCTGCTAGTACAGTGTCCTTCAGACATGGCACTTTGACAAGGGACCAGTGTGACTCCCTGTGTGCACATTTCTCACCACAGTCTCTCAGCCAGCCCTGACTCCCATGCCTCCCCTCCTGATGGCTGTGGAGTGCCTGGGGCGTTGAGTTCCAGCATTCCAGGAGACTTCCTGCTCCCTTGGGTTGGCGATTGGTAACGGAGAGGCAGCTAGTGGCAGAGGCATGTAGACGGCACTTCAGGTCAGCAGCTTGAGCGCCAGTGCCTTACTTGGTACATGGATACTGCTGTGTTTCAGATTTGAGGACGTGGTGGTGTAGACAGAATGACTAAACATCCTGCTGGCTGAAGGCATCACAGACAGAGGGAAGAGCTGCTGTGTGTTTTGGTGTCTACAAAGTGAGGGGCTGCCTTGGAAAGGTTCTGACTGTAACAACCTGTTGTTAAAATCAGAATAAATTGTATTTCACTAGAATATTTCTCCGACTGAAATGATTATTGAATGTTTCAGAAAGCTGTTATGTGAAAGTAACTATTTGTATGGCAGATCTGCGTGGGTCTTTGGGGAATAGTGGTTCCAGTACAGGAACTTGATGTGCCCCAGTTTTAGAACTGTTCCCTCTTCCGTGGTGTGCTTTATGAAATGGCTGGTGCAGACATACAGGAGTCTTGGTGTGCCTTTAACCCAGCTTTACTGATTACTGCCTCATTTTTGTACACTTTTGTTAGGTGAAAGGACCAGATGGAAGTATTTATGTTTTCCCATTAGTTTTGATTTTGTCATTATGTAAGTTATCAGCTGTTTAGCACTTTTTAACATATGGACTTTTAATCATTTTTAGGTGTGTATAATTTTTTTCTGTAACATTCCAATAAAATATTTTTGTAATTTTCTTGTGCATTTTGTTAATACAAACTTGGAAGAGCTTCTGTTCTTAGCTGCTAGCACTTCGAGTTAACTGTAGACATATAATGGTCTTTAGAGAAGGTTCCTCTGCTTTTAATGGTCCTGGGAAGATAGTATGTGAACTTTCAGACGCAGACGTGCTCACAGTAAAGTAGCTGTGTGAATATTGTGACACAGAGCCAGCTTGTGTTGACTCTTCCTGTGAAGTGTCTGATAGAGTCACCACTTATGTTTGGGGCTGGCCACACCTGCCATTTGTTCACTGTAGGGTCATCTGTCCTCATTAATCTTTTTTTTAAACTAGGAACTAGGAATAGAAAGAGAAGGTGGGGGCTTGGTGTGGTGCTCACTCAAGAGGCAGAGATCAGGAAGATCACAGTTTGAAGCAAATTCTTGTATAAGTTAGTGCGACTCCATCTCAACAAATAAACTGGGCATGGTGGTGGTACATGTCTATAATTCCAGCTGTGTGGGAGGCATAGGTAGGAGGTCTGGCTCGGGCAAAAATGTGAGACTGATCTGAAAAATACCTGAAAAAAATTGCTGAAGGTATGGCTCAAGTGGTGGGCAAGCATACAGCCCTGAGTTCAAACCCAGTACCACCATTAAAAAAAGAGCGAGTAGAACCTAGGATCAGGAATATCACATCAAACAATGTTTGCCAAGAGCGTGCTCAGTAAATAGAACCAAACCCAGTTTGTGTGCACACGAGTGTGAAGATGTGGGAGAGTGTCATTTAAAACAGAGGTCAGGCAAAGGGCAGCACGAGCTAGGTGGACTGGGGATGTGAGAGGCCAGTGCAGGCTCGAACCTGAAAGCCTGCAAGTAAACAGTGTCTGCTTCAGCCTCACTGAGGATCTCGCCGGGTCACAGGGCTCCGCCCTGTGACTATTCCCATATGTTTTATACTCATTTTTTTTTTCCCCTCAGAGTAATTTTACTACGAGGCTAGCAATCTAAGTCTGGAACTTTTGGTTAAATCCAATTTATTAAAACCCAGTTAGCCATACCCAGTTAGTATGGTAGGGATATCGCCTGTTTACCTAAAAAGAGACATTGCCAGGCACTGGTGGCTCATGCCTATAATCCTAGTTATTCAGGAGGCAGAGATCAGGATTGTGGTTTGAAGCCAGCCTGGGCAAATAGTTCGAGAGACCCCATCTTGAAATACCCATCATGAAAAGAGGGCTGGTGGAGTAGCTGAAATAGTAAGAGTGCCTTTTTAGCAACCATGAGGCCCTGAGTTCAAATCCCAGTGCTGCAAAAAAAAAACCCAAAGGAGACATCCTTTTTATTTATTAGCACATAATAGTTGTATGGGACGACGTTGTGATATTTACATATGTGCTGACATATCTTAGAATTATCCCTCCATCATTTTTCCTCTTTCCCCTTCCCCCTTCTTAGGACAGCTTGAATAGGTTTCATTCTCATATATGAATCATATATGAATACAAAACACATCTACCATATTCATCCTCATTAACCCTTCCCTTATACCCACCCCCTTCCACTGGTAACCACTTCCCAAAAGAAACCTATAAAAAGAGCCATCTTAATAAACTCATTTGACAGACTCACACCTGCTCCCACTCCTGTTAAGTAACTCCTATGCCTGCTACATATGCACCTTTTGCTTTTATTATAACTATAAATAAAAACAGTGTCAAGCCGTCTAACTGCTCCTAATCAAGTGTAGGGGAGGAACACCCCCTTCAAAGAGTAATGAAGAATGAAACTAACTTGTCTTGTCATCAAAGTCAGGAATATCGTAGGAGCAAGTATGTGCTCACATTTCACAGTCAGTGGCCAGACCAAGTTTTGAACCTGGGTTGCACTCCAGCTGTGCAGTGGTAAGGCTGGTTCAGTTCGTGGGTGAGGCTGCCTTCTTTGAAGAGTCCCTGGTTGGTTCCAGTGTAAGGTGGGTGAACTCTCTCCTTTTTGAACCTGGGTTGCACTCCAGCTGTGCAGTGGTAAGGCTGGTTCAGTTCGTGGGTGAGGCTGCCTTCTTTGAAGAGTCCCTGGTTGGTTCCAGTGTAAGGTGGGTGAACTGTCTCCTTTCTGGTCAGTGTGGGTTGACATGTTCTTGCAAAAGCCAGGGTCGTAGGATTGGCCTGTGCATAGAGATAACTGAATCTAACTGATTTCACCAGGATCGGAACCTGATTGGGGCTCCCCAAGTCTGGGTCTGAGACCTAGCTCCTAAGGCAATGGTCGTTTTAGGGAACTTGAAGCAGAACTTAAAGTTCCTGACTTTTATGCAACAAAACATCGTCTCTGGTTATCCTTAAGCAAAAGACAGATGCATTGGAGAGGTCGCCAGGGGAACAGAGAAGCACGTCTTGTATGGGGGCAGTAGGCAGGGTGGCTTGGGGGTGCTCAGCGCTGGCTGATGGGAGTTACTAAGATGGCCTGTTCAGTGGCCACCTTACAACAAATGCCCTCCTATTCCCTCCCTCCCTCCCTTCCTTTCTCTAGCCCTCCCTCTTCCTCTTCTTCTCTCCCTCCCTTCTTTCCTTTGTTGCAGATGGAACTAATGCATGCTTCCCACCCTTCTGTTCTGAGGGAGGGGTGGGAGCAGGATCTCACCTTTGGGCTCCACAGTGCTCACACGGCCAGGCAGGGGCATTTTGGGGCCAGGGAGGTATGATCTTCACTTCGATGCCAGCATACCCTGTCTGAGCAGCACACAGCGGTGTCAACCTTGTACTTAGCAGGGTCTCCTTGTGGATCTGGCTATCCACAAACTTCCTGGATTTAGCTCTCTGTCCTCAGAGTTTCCCAGACACCATGACCTCACAGCCCTTGTCACCTCTCTCCATGATGAATAGTACCACACTATAGCAGGTCCTCCGCACAGCGCACCCTCCTAGGAGTCTGTAAGGAAGGGACTCTGCCTGGTCAGTGGCAACAGGCCCCTTGTGGCCATCTTTCCAGCATAAAGCTCTCATACACTGATCTCAGAGAAGCCAAATCTCTTCTGAATTACTGCGGTCAATTCCACCATCCACCAGCCCTTCTCACCAAGAACATTCTGTCACCTGGCAGCTAAAATAATGCTTTTTGTCCCAGTTAGATTCCAGCTCCAGAGTAACCATCTTCAGCCAGCTCCCGAGTGAGAAACTCTTTCAGTTCAGCTTTGAATATGCTGTCTGCAGTAACTTTCGTCTTGGAAACCTTAAAATTTATTTTTGAAGGACTTTGACTCATTTCAGTATGCCCTGACATGGAGAAGAGTTTTATGGATTCTAGTTAACTGTCTGCACAGAATTTAAAAAAAAATAATGACATAGGAACCGGAATATTTTGTCTACACTAAGGCCTAACTTTAAAGAACTGTAGGTTCTTGGCCAAGATGGAAGATTGGGAGAGGGAAGACTCGAACAGAAGAGTAACCTATTCCAAAAAGGGCTACAAAATTTCCCCCTAAGTCTCGGGTTCAGTCTTGAAGTTGGGGAAGAGACTTTCCCATTTGGGCAGACATGACGTACAGCTGATGATTTGTTTCTAAATGGTGTGGGCTACTTGTTTTAAGTATAGCTGCAGCATTTGCAAACTGTTTTGTTTTGGTTTGGTTTGGTTTTTTTTTGAGACAGGGTCTGGCTATGTAGCCCAGGCTGGTCTCTAACTCATGATGCTCCTGCCTCTGCATCCCAAGTACCGGGATTAAGGCATGCACCATCACACCTGGCTTACAAATCCTCACTTTGATTGTAGTCATTACACCTTGAGGTCTATAGTTCCTATCAGCAGGTAAATGCATTGTAACATCTCCTGCTTCCAAGCAAACTCACATGAAGTCCGGCTCCCTCATGTTTCTCCCACTATTACCCATCTCTTTGTTTCCCTCTATTCCAAAACTCCACCAAAGTGTTCACTATGCTTACAATCCCCAGATATACTCCTCTTATTAAAAGAAATTGCACTGTGGTGTGTGGATGCAAATCAGTGCAGTATACATAATGTTCAAAGGGGAGCTTTGTCCCTCCCCAGCCCACACCCTCCAGTGACAGGAGTGAGGAACAGACCCCAGAGTTCTGCGTGTGATGAAGCAAAAGTCCTCTTTCTCTCGCTTCCCAGCAGCACATCCCCACCACCTCTATTGAGGGCATCAGGACTCTTCTTAAAGTGCCCTTCATCCCTGCCAACAGCAGTCACCACAGAGAGACTCCTGGGTCATCTCCCATCTCCTGGACTGTCCCCCACTCGAGCCTGTGTGTTCTGGTTACCTATTGCTGCATAACGAACCGCACCCAAACTTAAGTGGCTAAAACAATGGCCACCATTTACTCTTCTCAGTAATGTGAAATTTGAGCAGTGCTTGGCAGGAACAATTTGTTTCCGCTTCACATGGGTGCATCTCACCCGTGGCTGGGCGATCAAGCTGGTCCACTTGAAGTGGGTGAGCCATGCTAGCTGTGGATTTCTCTCCCCGTGGTCCTCTCCACAGAGCAGCTTGAGTTTCCTTTTACAGAGAACCTGGGATCCAGGAGTGGCATTCATAGTAGGGTTTTGTCATACCACGCTACATGAACAGCAGTCTTGACAGTAGAAATGTATTCTCTTACAGTGTTGTAGGTGAGAAGTCTGGGATGGGTCTTAATGGGCTAAAATCAGGACGTTGGTGGGATACATTCCTTTCTGGGTGTACTAGGGGAGAATCCATTTCTTGCTTTCAAGATGATAGTCCCTGGAGGACTGACATTGCTATTTCCCAGCAGGCTATTGGCTGAGGGCCATTCTCAGCTTCTAGAGGCCACCTGCATCTCTTGTCACCTAGCCCCCTTCCTCCACTGTCAAGGTCAGTGACAACACTGGGAGACTTTCTTCTGCTTTGAATTTCCTGCTTCTTTTTTTTATATTCATATGTGCATACAATGTTTGGGTCATTTCTCCCCTCTCCTGCTTCTTCTGTCATCAGACAGCTCTGACCCCCTCTTCTGTTTCTGCCTTCCACCTGTGTGCTTACACTGGAACCCCCTGATAACCCAAGACAGTCTTCCAACTGGAGGGTCCTGAATCCCATCCGCAGTGTTCCTTTTGCTGTGTAATACAACATACTCATGGTGTCAGGAAATGGAGCATGGACATCTTTGGAGGCCATTATTCTGTCCACCATCACAGCTCTACAACTCAGGTCCTATGCCCCAACAAAGCCAGCGGCACCTGGAGAGAATATGGCAAATTATGGTGCTAGATGAAAACTGGCAGGAACCAACAAGAGAATCAAAACACAGAGCCTCCGGATTTCAGAGTG